CAGCAACAGAGCCCAGCCACAGAGTTGACAGAGTTCAGGGGCGCGGCGCAAGGTCCAGCCACAGAGCCCAGCCACAGAGTTCAGGGGCGCGGCCAGTGAGTGTGGCCAGCTCTTTTCTTTCTAAGATAGAACCCCAACAGTAACCTGTTTGGGGAATCAAAAACTTTTAGCGAAAGCGGCATCCACTAGAATGTGTTAACCTCACTGGCTCAATTCTATAGCCAAACAATCTTGTTAGAATGTCGTCATTTTCAATGCCCAGGTTTGCTGGTTCCATAGCAGAAATATCAATGGGGATCTGGTGCTTTTACATTGGAGGACCATTAGCCTTTCCGAGAGGAGAGGGCTGTTCTTCTCGCTTCTCTGAAGTCTAAAATTGTACCGCACCAAGCCAAACAAAATAAATGGCGTGACAAACTGATGGAGCAAGAAGGAACTCGTTTGATGGCTCTGCACTGCAACCCTTGATGTGGGTCTGAACAATCAAATCCTACATGTCATAGAACTTAGCGAAAAACACTGCCAAATGCGCTGCCCAAAACTGTGGGGGGCGAAACGTGCATCATCATTGAACACTGAAATTGCCTCGCTTGCCATCTTGATGTGTTCCCTGACAACTTCTGCGATGCCAGTCATACCTGGCACGCGAACGGCTGCCTGACAATAAAACACGTGCTACGAGAGAAACAAGCATAGCAAGACCACGCATTACAGTGATGTTCTTCGGGTCATAGTGGGTTCCAGTGCAGCGCAGCTTTAAACAACACACGTCCTTATGGTTTCAGCAGTAGGAGAACACTTTCTGAGTCACACTGCCGCCGTTTCCTGATATGTCGTGGGAATGAATCTCAACCCAAAGCAAGACGTGAGAGCTTCTTCTAAGAGTCTTGGTAAGCGCACTGGTGTGCACGTTTGCAAGACAAATAATCACCAACAGCTGGGCATGAATCTGCTATGAGGCCATGGCAACACGGCAAACTCAAACAAAAAATATTGTTTTTCAATGCGAAACTGTGTCAAAAAAACAACCCTAGTGAAAGCATCACTAATGAAAGCGTCATAACGCGGCAATCTGCCAGCATAGCACATGTGCCGCGGGCACATGTGCACGCGTGACAACGCCGCAAAAAACAAAAACGCGGGAACTTGCTCCAGAACACAGCGTTACCCGTGTCAGCGTGCCAGCGTGACAACATGTGAGGGTGTCAACACACCAAAGTGACACCATTATAATTACTCGCCTGACAACACCTCAGGACGACAATATGCTAGCGCGCCAGCAAAAGAGCCGCGCTTCGCCATGACATAATGTCTGCAAGTTAGCGTGGCAAAGAGACAACATGTTAGAATGTCGACATGACAGCGCAGGCCGTACAAACATGGAACCTGACGGCGTTACACCTTGCAGCGTGACAATATGATATAACATGATGACAGTTCGGCGTTAAACCGTGACAATGTCAGCAAAACAGCATATCTGCAGAATGCTCCCAATCTTGCACTGCTTGAACTTGGAACTTGTTCCGGAACTTGTGCCACGACCTGCTCGTTGGATGTGACTTCTATCAGGGTGATAAACGCACGCATGCACTTGTGTATTTTGTCGCCTGCTGCGCAAATCACCCAAACTTGTACTCTAAGTTTAGCTCTTCGACTGGCCAAGGAGCAATTTCAACCCCAAGGTCCAAGAAAAGGAAGTGATCTGGTCGTCCATCGGTCTCCCACTGATTTGCGCCGCTTGCAAGCACATCTCCTTCCCGGTCCTCACATGTGCGTCAGAACGTGTTGACATAGCATGTTTCACAAAGTTTCACAGTCCCCCTTCCCATTGCTTCGCACCATCGTTGCGTGAATGATCCGCATGGACCGCATGGATGCCTTTTGTGATTCATTCCGCGCCCTTGTCAAATGCACAACTCGCATACATTTAGTCACAGGGTTTGCAGTTAGTCATAATCCACAGTGAAATGGATGAGGGACACGCATGGCGGCTGGGTCAGCAACATCACTTGAAGTGTTTGAACATCTGTTCCAAAACTCACGCAAGTCAGCAGCTGCAGAACGGCGGAGGGAAACTTGTTTGGTGAGGTATCATGAGCTGTTCATGTTGGCGGCAAGGAAGATTCGGAGGTGTGGTGGTAGTTCGAGTGTGAGGATGTATGTCCGTCGGTGGTGGGATGGTCTGAGTTGTGGCGAGGAGTGTGCGCAGGTGTGCGCAGGCGGTCTGTGGGTTCAGCAGGTGCATTCACTACGTGAAACAGGGTGAAACACCGTTACCCTATGTCCTGTGTGTGAGAAGGCAGTCTTCCCATGTTCGATGGTTGTGGAGTTGGCCGCGGAGAGTGTTGTGTGCGGCTTCGCGCAACCGGCAAGTGGGAAGGTGTAGTGGTATAGCGTGGGAGAGATGTTGCTGGACCATGGATTTCAACCATTGCTAGGTGTGGGACTTGAAAGAGTCGTGTGAGAGAAAGGGAATGGTGAGAGGTGTGTTGGCTCGGGGAGTTGTGAGGTTGCGGTAGAGCATTGCTTTGTGGATAATCTGCAAGGCTTTTGTGCGTCCTGGTTCTTCGAGGTTGGCAGCCATGCGATGGCGTATAGCTCCAGGTCGGAGTGTCGTCCGCTGCGAAGCTGTTTTGCGGCTTCGAAGGATTTGGCTGTGCGCTTAGTGACTTAGTGAGGCTTCGTAGCAAAGTTAGGGCATGGTGCTTGGTGAAGGCGAAGAGGTGAGGTAGGTATTCTGTCGTCGCCGAAGGCGCTGGAAAAGACGTTTGTGGGTGGTAAGGCGGGAGTAGAAGTGGTGAACTGCCATCCCTGCGCTTCGAGTTTGAGGTGGTGGGAGATGAAAGGCCAGTTGAGGGGTGGCGTCCCGTTAGAGATGTGGTTGTGTTCGTGGATCGAGGCCTGGTCGCAGGTGTCGTGTGAGGCTTAAAGTTGGATGGTAGTGAATTGATCAATGGTGTGCGGTTGCGACAATATTGTAAGGAGTGTTCTGCCGAAATCGGGATGTTGTTCTGAAGTTGTTTAAGCTTGGCCCGCCGGTTGTGTTCCCTGTGAGGGATGCCAATGGCGGTGGAGCCGATGTAGAAGTGCCCGTGTTAGTGGTAACATCGTTGAGGGAACTGTAGATTGAATTGAACCCCACGGCTCCGCTTAGTCTATTAACAGACTAAATGGACTAAAATAGACTTGTTGGTTATAATAGTATATATATACTATTTTTTGAGGCTATCATCAACCAGATGATAACATATAAACATCCTATTTTTAGAGCGCGCATGTTTCTCCAGTGAACTTATCTATCGTTTCTGAGGGTCTGACAGCGCAGTTTCCTGTACTCGAGAACTTTGCTGAACGATTCGTTCGTTCAAGTTGTCAAGTCACTTTTTGATAGTTTTCCTTCGCAGTTTCAGATTTCGGGTGCAATTTCCTCCGCTTTCGGTGTGCGATGGCTACCGTGTTGGTGCACGCTCGGGAAATCAAGCAGCTCAATGACAGTTTCCCAGATAGCGAGGAGCTGGCGGAGCAGGTTGAGAACTGGAGGAACATCATTTTGTACTACTTGAAGGCAGAGCAGCAGCATGCTGCAAAGATCTATTTGGAGGATATGGCCAAGACGTTGGTGTATGTGCGGATGATGATCCGAGGCGATGATGTCTCTGAGGAGCTCGACGGAGTGCAATTTTACCGAGCTCCACTCCCAGCAATCTTCACGTTCATGAATCTTACCCCTGCAGTGCACCCGGATGAGGTGCTGATGAAGGCGGAAATTGAACAGTGTGTGAATTTCATGCTGCGCTTCAAGCGGCTTCACGCACATTGGTCTGCTTTCTTTTCATCGATGTGCCACGTCCTGTGCTAATCCATGGACGCGTGGAATGGGACCCATGGACATATAGCGTATAAGTGGTGAACAAATACGACCTTGCTGCTTTAATGTTGCCATTTCTCAGTGTTTCCATTTCCTTTCTGAGAGTGAGGGTTTCCATTTCCTTTCTGGGAGTTTTCATCTTTTTTCGATTTCCTTTCCGGGAGTTTGTGAGGGTTTCCATCAATTTCCTTTCTGAGAGTTTTCATTTCCTTTTTTGATTTCCTTTCCGATCTTTTGTGAGGGTTTTCATTTCCTTTCTGATAGTTTTCCAGTTTTTTTCGATTTCCTTTCTGAGAGTGAGGGTCTCCATTTCCTTTCTGAGAGTTTTCATGTTTTTTTCCTTTCCGAGAGTTTGTGAGGGTTTCCAATAATTTCTTTTCTGAGAGTTTTCATTTCCTGTTTTGATTTCCTTTCCGATCTTTTGTGAGGGTTTCCATTTCCTTTCTGATAGTTTTCAAGTATTTTTTCGATTTCCTTTCTGTGAGTTTTTGAGGGTTTCCATTTCCTTTCTGAGAGTTTTCACTGTGTTTTTCGATTCCCTTCCTGAAAGTTTGTGAGGGTTTCCATTTCCTTTTTGAGAGTTTTCCTTTTTTGTTTTCGATTTCCTGTGTCGAAGGAAAAGGGAAAGGCAAAGAAACCATCAGAGGTGGAAGAGCCAGAAGAGCAAGCGCAGCCTGTGGAGCATGAGCGTCACTACACCGAGACAGAGCAGAAGGTGGAGGCAGCTGAGCATGACACAGAGGATGAAGACAAGGGCAAGAGTGACAAGGCGGAGGAAAAGAAGCAGGACTGGTGTTTTTGAGGGTGTGGGCTCTTCTTCCTGAAGTTTTTCGGGAGAGAGAGAGAGTTCTGAATCTTTTTTCCTTTGTGAGAGTTTCTGAGACCGGTTTTCTGAGAGACAAGTTTGGGAGCTTTTTTCTGTGAAATTTCTGCGGGAGAGAGAGAGAGAAGCTTTGCAACATTGCAGGAGGGCGTGGAGCGCCACTCCAGATCCAGGTCGAAAAGGCTACCAAAAGCTTCAACATCTCCGGAGTTGGTCCCCGCATGGGTAAGGAGATCAACCTAATTGAGCGTTCAGTGTCAACTCTTTGACAGTTTTCTGTTAATGATGTTCTTTTGAAATCATTCTGCAGGAGGGATCTTCGAACACTCCGCAAATCTCTTGAAGTCGCCTGCGACGGGCTCAAAAACCTGGAGGACAAGCTGAATCGCCGATATGCAGGGTCTCGGCGAAACAGAAAACAAGATAATATATCATCAATTGTCTACCAATGTTTTGGTTGTTGATGATTGTTTTCTGAGACCTGGATGTTGAGACATCAAATATTTTTTCACAAAATCATGAAATGTATGAAGAGCACAAATTAAAAAATCAAAGTTTTATCCAAGTTTTGATAAAACTTTGATTTTTACAGTCAAAGTTTTATCAAAGTTTTGATCAAACTTTGATTTTCATAATCAAGGTTTTATCAAACTTTGATGTTTAAAACCAAAGTTTTGATCAAAGTTTGATTTTAATAAAAGTTTGATTTCAAAACTTTGATAAACCTTTGACTGTAAAAATCAAAGTTTTATCAAAACTTGGATAAAACTTTGATGTTTAACTTGTGCTTTTCATACATTTCATGATTTTTGAAAAGATAGTTGATGTCTCAACATCCGAATCACAGAAAAATTCATTAGAGTTGCATCAAAAACCAAAACCACGAGAGCAGTTCCTTTGCGACTATGTAGTCCAAGGTTCTTGGAGACTTAAAGATACAAGACTATGGAACCTGTCTTTCTGACCAAAGTTCTCCTCAAATGTGAAAATCGTAAGTTCGTTGGTTGTGTCATTGGTGCCTGCGACAGGTGGATCCGCTGCTGCATGGTTTCACGGCCAGAACCTCGAGACTGATCTGACAGGAAAAATTTCAATGATTTTTCAACCGGTTACTCTGAAGACTCCATGTCAGAGTTTTGCATTTGTCATGTTCGACAAGTTTGCCTAGTAGAGATTTCAGTTTCTTTTCTCAGAGTGAGTTTCTCATGCCTTCTTGAGAGGTCACTTGTCATTTCAACCTTTGCGAGTTTCTTTCCTGAGAGATTTTTCTGATGGTTTCTTTTCTGAGTGCCCTTTTCTGAGAGTTTCCATTTCTTTTTGGAAAGGCTCGATTCATTTCAGAGAGGTTTTCATTTCTTCTCTGAAAGTTATGCTGGGCCGTGGTGGTTTGCATATTTGGAATTGGCTCGAATAAGCATACAGCATACAGTATCACAAGCAACTCTCAGAAAGGAAGCCCTTGCATACAAAACAGTCAGCTCTCAAAAAGAATACCCTCAGAAAGGAAACTCTCAGAAAGACACTTTAGTGAACACACATTTTATTGAATAACCGTCAGCACTCAAAACGAATGCCCTCAGAAAGAAAACGCTCCGAAAGGAAACTCTCAGAAAGACATTTTATTGAACGCACATTTTGTTTGAATTGGGCGCGTTAGAAATAGAAAGAACATCTTTTGGGAGGCTATCATTTTGTAGCTCCATGCGACGAACTACTGCAAGGAAAGCTGCAAACTTTGAGGAAGGCTTCTTTGCAGCCGACAACATCAAATCCGACCTAGTGGAGCTATTGCTTTCAGCATGGGTTTGGGGCGAAATTTCAGGTGTGCTGATTCAGCGCATCACGCAAGCTGCTAGCAAGGACCTACAAAAGGCTGGGTATGGCAAGATCAATTCATGGATCCTATTGTCACAGATGGGGACTTCAGGCCAGCACATCTGGAACATCAAAAGAGATCTCGAACGAAAACTTCCTGCGCCAATGTTCACTCTTTCTGAGCGCAATATGCCCGTAAAAGTTGGAAGCAAAACTGGAGGATCCACAGTAAGACAATTGCCAATACCGCTCTTGCCTCCTGATGTCACATGGATGAGGCTATGGAAAACTGATGCCTGGAAAAGGTGTATTCTAGAAGACCCAAGTTTGGTGCCAAAGTTTTTGGTCAGAAGTGGGCCAACACCCAGCTCTTCTTCACCACCCTGTTCGTAGCGTCCAAAGATATCAAGAAAGGGCAGTGCCATTGATTTTGCATGGCGACGGCGCTTCTGTGACCCAACAAATAGGAAGCGGCTCG